GGTTGGTCAGATTATCTCAGTTCCCTCACAGAGTCCATTCAGTGTGTAGGGAGAGCCGGGCATGATGGCACATGCCTCTATTCCTAGCATTCAGGGGGGGCAGGTGGATCTCTGTGAGTTTGAGGCCAGCCTGCTCTACTAAGCCAGTCTAGGGCAGCCAAGGCTGCACAGAGAAACCCTGTCTTAAACAAAACAAAACAAAAGAAAAACAAAACAAAAGTGAAGGGTGAAGACACGTCTCTAAGGTGTCTATTCACCTTAGTTCACTCCTGCTTCTCACCTTGAAATCAACACAACTGATAGTAGTTAAATACCATAATTCTTTAAAAATATAACTTCCTCATCTCTCACCACAACATGGGGTGGTATCAGTCTCTATCACACCGAAGAAACTGGCATTGAAGTTATTGACTAACTGACGCCACAACATGAACCCCTTTCCATTTCAGGAGTGGCACCATTAACGTATTTGGTATCTAAGTGACAAGAAATGCCAAGGGACATTTTACAACTCTATACTTGATTATCTTCTCTAGATTTCTCCTAATACGCACTGTTTTGAAAATAGCAATAAAATACAGGTTACACTGAAAATTTAAATATAAGCATAAATTACATTTCTTTATTGTGTGTGTCTCTGTGTGTGCACATGCGTGCTTGCCTGTGTGTGTATGCTACAGAATGGGTCTGGAGGTTAGGAAGCAACTTTCGGGAGTTGGTTCTCTCTTTCCTAAGTATTGAATTCAGGTCATTTGGCTTTGGCAGCAGGTTACCCATTGAGCCATCTTGCCTACTAGATATAATTCTTAAACTTTTTATTATGACAAATTTGAAATATATACAAAAGAAGTGAGTATATGAATCTCTTTGTTCGTATAGCCATAACCCAAATTTAACATGGCCAGTCTTGTTTTTATCTATTCTCAAATCTGCTTAGGTCCTATATTTTCTGCTGAGTGTGCACTTCTGCATCAGGCTTTGCAGAGGTCAGGGGATACGAACACTGGTCCTCATGCATGAATGGTAAGTATTTTATCTACTGAGTCAACTCTCTAGTCCCAGAATAAAGAATTCTCAACAATCTTATTGTAAAGTTAGGAAGGGGAGCTTTACCTGTCTTGTCACTGATTGGTTCTAAGAAGATGTGATTTAGCTGAAACATTGTATTTTACTCAATTTATACAAGTGACCATAAACCTATATTTTATTTTATGATTTTCCCTATGATTAAACTTAATTTTCAAACAATTTTCACAGAAACATCATGAAATATATTCTGAAATCTGGATTGGAAAGTAAGGGTAAAACTTTCTTGGATTTTTTTCTCCCCGAGACAGGGTTTCTCTGTGTAGCCTTGGATGTCCTGGACTCATTTTGTAGACCAGGCTGGTCTCGAACTCACAGAGATCTGCCTGCCTCTGCTTCCCTGAGTGCTGGGATTACAGGTGTGTGGCACCACGCCTGGTTTATCCTGGACATTTTAAGATCTATAGATTGAGCCAATCCACCGAATGATGGTGTTGTCTTTAGAAAATTATGGTTAGCTCTGCGTGATACTGCTTCCCACCACTACAAAGGCAGTTGAGGTACAGGTGGGCAGGTCAGTGGGTACCCACTAGAGCCTGACTCTCCTGAAGTACCCCTTTACTTACACAGCTTCTCTTTGCTTTTCTAAACCCCCTCCCTGGCTGCTGGCGAGCCTGGAATTCTCCCTGGTCCTCATCTGCGTCATGTTTTTCCAGCTGCCCTGCTTCTCTGCTGGAAGCCTCTTGATGTTCACCTTCTACCGATGTGTTCCCTGCTCTCAGGAGGTTCAGCCTATGACCCTTCCTAACTTCAGCTGTGGATGAGTTCTCCCTTCCCAGGATCAAACAGTGCTTATTCAATGTACAGTAACCCCAGCTTAAAGGGGAAGAAAGTTCCAAGGATAAGAGGGGAAAATATAAAAACACTCCCTGACACACACACACACACACACACACACACACACACACACACACCCTCCACATCTAAACCACAATAGTGACAACCAACCACTTCTCCCCCAGCCTGAGTGACATAGTTTGGAAATGGGGCTCCAGTATGGGTGTTGATAGTAGCATCTTTGTCCCTAGATACCCCCACCTTGCTGGAGGTCAAAGGGAATGGGGTGGGATGCCCAGAGGGTAGCTGGCCACTGTTTCCCACTCTGCTACAGTGTTGGTTGGCTTGGATTCTGCACTTGTTTTCCTCTATGGACTGTGTTAGCCGCAGGTACACAGCCACAGGTCTTGTTAGCCTGTGGCATGTGGGCTGTATCTTTGGCTGGTCCCTGCCAGTGACGTGGCTACATTTGTCCTTGTAGTCACTAGCAGGGCTTAGGACCTAGGTTCCTGCTGGGCTGTCTCCTCCCCCTACTTCTTTTCAGGGTTCCTCTCTATGACTGTAGGAGACCAGCTCTTCAGCTGAGGGTGCAGACTCCCCTTTGAAGGTCATGGTATAGCAACAATTTCTTCATGGACCAGACACCTCTTTTCCCATCTTTTTACAGAGCTCTGTTTTCTGTTGTTTGTCTTTGACAGCCATCCCTGACCTAACGGCACTGTGTTATTGCCAGCTCTGTCCCAGTCAATTAATGACACTTTCCCCAGAGTGCTCAGACCTGTGTAAAAATTTACACATAACTCTCCTATGATGGCTAGAGAAACTTAATATGGTAGCAAGCATCCCTTAAGGGCATAGACCTTTGCCCTGGAATGCCTGTGAGGGCCTAGAGGCCTGCAGTGAGATAAGAATAGGTTAATGGTGTTCCTGCGGTGAAGGATTTCACTGCTTGCTTTCTGTGTTTGTGAACTCCCTTATCGCCAGGGTGAATAGGAAGAAGTGTTCTTTCTATTACTATATAGCGGCACAGAGAAACAACTGAGGGGAGGGAAACTATTTTCTCGCCCAGCTGTGGATTCCATAACTGATTGCACACCTTTGATAGGCACCTCTATAAACCCTTCCTTAGCCCTCCTCAGCAGGGCATGCCGTTTGGCTCTAAGGCTGCTGCCCTGGCAGCAGTAAGAAGAAATTCATTTAATCTCAATTTGAGTTGAGCTTAAGTCTTTGGTCTTTCCCCGTGGATTTGACTGCCACAACAGTCTTGGTTTTGTAGTTTCTTCTAGTGTGCTGTCCAGCCTGCATCTCCTCTCCTGGTCGAGCCAGGTGGATCCTCCTGGAGACCAATAGTTCAAGTTTTAAAGAGTGTATGCTCATTGTAAAAGCAGAGCATTTGAGATAAGCATGTTAAAAATTTCAGTGATCTGAATTTAAACTGTCCTCTGTAACACAGCAAACATGCAAACTAGAACATTTACGTTTCCCCCAGCAGATTTAGCATTCATATCAAAGAATGAGTGTGATGATAGGCCATGGCAACAGAATGTCTTAAACAGGAATAAAACATTGATATTCAGTACTTTCAAACTAAGAGGCCAGATCAAGTATGTCTGTTTAAGACTATATACAAAGGGTAGATGGTGTCCTTATTAAGATTCTTTGTGGTAGAATTCATTGGCTTCCCAATGTCCATCCTCATATTCTTGCCTTGCAGTCTGGCTCTCTCTATGGTCCTTTCTATGCAGGGCTCTGTGTGGAAACGCATGCAAATCAGGGTCTCCTGCTGTGGTTCTCCTAGAGAGACCTTCTGGCATTGGTCTTTGCTCTTCCCACGACAGTGAACCAAGTGACAGTGTCCCTGTGTCGCTTTATATGTCTTCTGAGCTGTCTGCAGCCGTGCATTGTGCTTACCCAAGTTAAAAGTCAGAAAAGAAAAATGATGAGTCTAATAGAAAGAAAAAAAAAATAAGCAACAGGCCTTAAAAACGAGGATAGAAATTAAGACCATGAAGAAGCCGGCATGCATCTTTGGTTAAAACAACAACAAATCATGTAGAATGTCAACATTTAAAAAAACAGATTTCAAAAGCAGACATTAGTTCTTTTCACGTAGCAGACTCTCCAGGAGAGTGGGGATACTGCACGGGTGGGTCACAGGTCACAGGTCACAGCTCACAGGTCACTTCCAACAACCGATTCAAGCAGCTTTCATGTCTGAGCTCTGAAGGGTGAAATTGTTTGTGGCTGGAGTCGTTACACTGAAGGGAAAACTTCTCAGACTTTATGTGAGGTGTGAGAGGGGCACAGGGGCGTGTGTACCCCCAGTGTGCTCACAGTGCTTTCTTACAGCACAGCCTGAGTCTTTGGGGAGCTAAGTCAGCTTCTTTTTCAGGAAGGAAAAGAAGGAAAATGGCAGACAAGGAGTGAGCAGGTGGCCCATTTGTGAGAATTAAGCAGGCAGATTACTTCCTCTGCAAATTCTCTTGAATATGGAATAACACTTTCCAAGAGTCCCCAGGCTTAAAGCGTGCAAGACAGCAGACCTCAGACATCACAGGGTCCTGGAGACTGCTGACTCTGATGCAGAACCCTCATCTGGAAACTCTGTTAGTGCTCTCCTAGTGCACAATGAATTGCCTCACCTCTTTGAGAAGAGGTTTTAATCACTAGGAAGAACAAGCCCCACTGGAACTAGGACAAAACAGCCCTGTCCTTTGGAGTATCGCTGGTCCCTGTACTTGCATGTTGTTGGACACAACACATCCCAGATGAAGAGAACTGAGAGACAGAGGATAAAGGTCACACGCTGGGATTTGTGAATGAAGAATTTCTAAGCCATGCTGTCCAGAGCATTAGAAACTACTTTTATAGTAACTGATCTCTTTAACTATTTACCACTGATCCAAATGCAACAATAAAGAGAACTTTATGAGTCTATAAAGTCAGAATGAGTCTGATCATGTGAAGTAACAAATCCTGTTTTATCACAAAAGTCATGCTGAGTTCAGCTGTCTCCTTTACGGCAATTATGTTTCTTACATTATTCACAGACTGGCTTTCAAAATCTGATTCTTAAAGTGAAGGAATAAGTTTCAAATTTTGATTATATGGAATTGAAGGAAAAAAAAAACTCCACATATCAAAACATATTTATTTATTTATTTAGAGACAGGGTTCCTCTGTGTAGCCTTGGCTGTCTTGGATCTCACTCTGTAGACCAGGCTGGTCTCAGACTCACAGATATCCACCTGCCTCTGCCCCCTGAATGCTTGGATTAAAGGCGTGCAACACTTCCACCCAGCTAACTTTGTTTTAATAGTGGCATTATAGGTACTTATTTTTTTTTTCTAATGGAAAAGAGAACACACAAAATTTGTTAAACATCTGAGGCAGGGGAGAATTAGACTCTTCCATATAAGTTCTTGTGATAATGCCATTCTCTGCTTTTGGAATGCAGCTGTCTAGACCTTCCTCAGAGTTTAGCAGATATCTAAGTAAATATTTAGAGCTGTAGCTCTCGAGAGGAAGTCTGGACACCCTTGCGGATCCTAGAAATCTTTTGAGGGGGTCAGCTGAGACATTATTTGCCTTTTGAACCCTCATTCTCTCATGAGCCCAAAGGAAAGTTTCCCAGAGGACACAAGCCATGTAACATCTCCACAAAGAGAATTCAGAAGCAGGTGTGAGACTTCCATTGTCTTCTATTAAGTCAAATACTAGCAAGACTTGTAGAAACACAAAGAGAAGGGCTATTCTTCTCAAGCTTTTATTCTGCAAACTATACCTTATTTTATTTTTATGTTTCTTAGAATATGTAAAAAGAAAAAGAAATATTCTAAATACTTTTCAGCTTTAATTTCTTATATGGTCTATGGAAAGGTACTTAGGAAGAAATGGCCATAATTAGAAAGCTCCTTGAGATTTGTGCTGGTTAATTTTTTTTTTTTTTTTTTTTGTCGACTTGACACAAACTGGAGTCCTTTTGGAACAGGTAACATCGGTTGAGGAATTGCCTATATCAGATTAGCCTGTGGGCAAGTCTGTCAAGCATATTATTAATTGATGACTAATTGGGAGAGCCCAGTTTACTGTGGGAGGCGCCTTCCCAGGGCAGACAGCCCTGAGGCACTGAGCAAGCTACTGCTGCAAACAGTGTCTTTCCATGGCCCCAAGCCTGGCCTCAGCTTCAGGCTCTGTCTCCAGGTTTCTGCTTGAGTTTTTGCTCTGGCTTCTCTTGATGATGGATCTGTAAGACATAATAAACCCTTTCCTCCCTAAGTTGCTTCTCAGCACAGTATATATCATGGCAAGGGGAAGCAATCTAGGACAAGGGTCTCAACTGTTAAGATTATAAAAGGTTTCCTAGTGATCAAAAAGTTTTAAGACCTGAGCTGACAATCACACACCTTAAAGCACCGGAGGCTTTTAAACACATTGTCTGTAGAGCAGATTTTCATTTCTCTGTGCAGCCTCAGCTGTCCTGGAGCTCACCCTGTAGACCTGGCTGGCCTCGAACTCACAGTGATCTGCCGGCTTCCCTGAGTGCTGGAAAAACAGGTGTGCACCAGAGGCCTGTTTGGAACAGATTTTCACGTAATTAAATATTGAAATTGATCATCTATATACTTTATGACTTATCATTCCACACTCAGATAGGTACTTAATGGAAATTTGTATATTCTCTTAGAGACATATACAAGAATATTCATAATAATTCTGGTGGTATCAAACTGGAAGCACCTCACATACCCCTTAGTTGTACAACAGATCAGTTTTCATGTATGCAATCATATAAGCATTTGCAGCTATAGAAAGCAAAACAAAGCCAGGTGAAAGATGCCTGCTTAGTTGGCAAACATTATAAAGAACAACAAGAGGTGCTTATCACAAAACTCAGGGCAGTGGCTGCCTTGCCAAGTAGGTGGGGGGAGTAAGCAGAGAGCACACAGGAAGACTTTTTGGGTTGCTAGCAAAGTCTCTTGATCTATATGATTTGGTGGTGCTTGGTTTGTGATAATTTATGCTTACATTCTCTCTATTATATTTCACAATATAAAAGGCAGAAACTCCTCTATGTTTAGAGTTCCTGAGCATCCCTGAAGACCAATAATAAAAATAACTACAGAAAATAGCTTGGTATGTGTTTTAGAAGTTTTTCTAGACTGTTTTTGTGCCTTCAATTAGAAGAAATGCCATAAATACAAGGAGAGGGGCTCTATTCCTCCATATATAAGGGGTCTACCATTCTTTCTGTATGTGTAGGTTTCTCACTACTGGGTTCCAAGTTATCAAGGCTGGATGTCCCAGGACCCAGAAAAGGTTCACTGAGGTAGCTTTCCTAAATGTGAGGCTTTGGTCTTTTGTAGGCATCAGAAGCATCTTAGTGGAGCAGGCTTCATGTGAAATACCCGTTCAACTTTGAAGCATGAAATGAATTTTACTATGCTTGGAACCTGCTCTTTTAAGGGGAGGAAGTTGGAAACCCACCATGAAGGTCACCTGTGTCCACCAATATCACATTGTTTTTATTCTCCATATAGAGCCTGACTCTCAACTAACCTGATTGTGCCATACAGGGGAGCAAATGGCTCAAATACCCTTGTATATGTCTCAGTCCTCCATAGTAAGTTAGGCACATACCAGGTTCTACAACTTCTTGGTTACCTGTATGTTTTCATTCGAGTACACATACTCAAATACATGTCAAGTGGTTTTCCTGCTGGCTCATAATTTTAGTTTACATCAAGGTTTTAATCATCTAGGTGGTGGGGCTAGAATTCTTGCTACATCCCTGATTTTTACCAGGCTCAAGACATCTTCAAAGCTGGACATTAGTGGTACCTGCCTAAACTTCCATATTTTAGGAGGCAGAGGACAGAGAATTGGGAGTTGAAGGTCATCTTTGACTCCACAGCATGTTTGCTGTCAGTCTGGACTACATGAGAACCTGTCTCAACAAAACAACTAAACACAAAACCCACCTAAACACTCCTCACAAATCGTCATTTTTCCTCCAGTCAAACAGTCATACATTTTAAGTGTTGATAACAGCAATCTAGTTAATTGTCAATGACTGGACTGAACAGCTACTGAGCATTTCCACCATTGTGGAAGTACTGTTAGGGGTATCAACCCCCCTTCCCCTCAGCGTTTAGAAGGCTGGCAAGCTCAAGTGGATAGGAGCTGCAGATAGGCCGCCAAAGAAACAGAAAACCCTGTCTGAGCAAAATTCCCTAGATGAAGGAGGCAGGGAAGCACTAGGCTACACAATGGGGAACAGACGAAAATTTCCTTTTGAGTTCCACTCTGCAGAGGCAAGGGGGGACCCTCGGATCCGTGTTGGAGTGATGTTTTTGTGCGCTTCATAAAGATTGTCTCTGTATTATTCCAATCCTGACTTCTGTGCCCGCAGGGATCTGATTTCAGGCTGGACTTCATTTGGTATTGTCATTCTTACAAAGCATCTCCTGCCCCAGTATTTTGTAAACTGTTGTCCACCGCTACCTTCTGATTGGTTGAATAAAGAGCCGAATGGCCAATAGTGGGGCAGGAAAGGAAGGCAGAACTTCGGAGCCAAGGAGAGGGTCTGGGGGTGGAGACCAGAGAGAGGGATGCAGATGAAGAAGCAGGTGCCAGAAGAAGACTAAGATGGCAGGTGTGGGACGGGGTAGCGGAGTATCTGCCCAGCTATAGTGCTTAAAGTTTATAGACATTTAAGGATCTTTGTGTCTTTGTTCAGAGCAAGGGCGGGCATAGATAAACCTACCATTACAGATTTAGAAACTTTTGGTTGGCTCAGGGTTCTCTTTTCCCCACCAGGTTTGACAGCTCTTCCTTGATTGATATCATCTCTTCATCTTATTTGCATACCCAAATTCAGCCAATCAGGGTCCAGCTGGTACCCGATTAATTCAGGCTAAAGCCCACGGAAGGCAGTAGAACCACTTCAGGAGCCTAGGGAGAAGAAAAGATCAAGTATCCAGGGGCTGGCTTCAAAAACTCCTGCTCTTTAAGGCGGTAAATGAAGACTTTAAGAGCCAGTTCCTCATCAGTTCATTCAGCAGAGAGGAAAGGCTACTTTTAAGACTCACTGGAAGCCTGTAATCCCAGCACTTGGAGAGGCAGAGGCAGGTGGATCTCTGTGAGTTCGAGGCCAGCATGGTCTATAAAGTGAGTCCAGGACAGCCAAGGACACCGAGAGAAACGCTCTCGAAAACAACAAACAAACAAACAAACAAACAAATAAACAAAAAACCCCTCCAAAACCAAAACAACCCTCACTGGAGATGCTGCTTCCAGGCACCCAAGCTGCCTGCTCTGTACAGGGAGCACCAGCCAGTCAGTAGAGGTGGGGGTTGGGGGAAGATTCATCCATCCTCAGCCTCTGAGACACTGAGCTACTTCAGCCATGGACAGGAATTAACTCCAGCAACTGCTTCCAGCCGCCAAAGCTGTAAGTGCAGGTGGCACACACCTTTCATTCCAACACTGTAGCAGAGGCAGAGGCAGGTAATTCTTGTGAACTGGAGGAGATCCTCATCTGAGGTATAGGTCAGCCAAGGCTGCACAGGAAGACCCCCAAGTCAAAGCAAGCAAGCAAGGAAGCAAGCAAATAAACAAACAATAATCTAACAAACTCTCCAAACAAACCACAAAACATTTCTCAGTGATTTCATGGCTCCCAGACAGCTTCCTGTTACTGACAGGAGTTCAGGCCTGTTTCAGTTGAATCCTGTGTGGTCGCATTCAGGCTCTTATCCTGTTTAAGGCTGTTAGGCACGGGTTGATAATAAACTACCTCCTTTTTGTAATCTCTGATGTCAGTGGAGGAGGGTGGAGAAGAACCAGGCTGAAGGTGAGACTGACCACTGACCCCCGTGGCACTATTCTAGGAGGCACCTGAACATTAATTATTGTCATAGGCCATTTTCATTTGTGGCTCTAATCCTTTCCCTTAGATTCAAAATTTTGAGCCCCTTATAAGCTGAGTGCAAGTCTCGGCTATAATATTTCTGCCTTCATGAAGTGTTTTTTGGCCTTTTTGGAGGCCAAAGAAACATGTAGAGAAACATGTAGATAAAACTCAAATGGAGGCAGCATGTGAGAAATGTAAACCAGACACCCTTAGGGAGAGAATGCCTCACAGAGAAAAGCACTGATGAAGTACCAGCTCTATACAGGCAAAAGGGTAGTAAAAGTCAGTGTGAGGTTGGTGGACCAAAAAGGCAGTGACGCCACTGGGGAACAAGGAAGCATGAATGTGGGCAGATAAGACAGAGTTTCTGTTTCATGCAAGGATGCAAGCACAGGTGAATCAATAGCTCTTGCAAGAATAAAGGCTAATCTATACTGAGGCTGCACAACATCTTGACTCAACACCTGACAAGTATAAACCAACGTCGTTATTTTTCTCTGCAGCAATGACACCAGTGACATCTGAGTTTGTTTGATGAGAATAAAGGAAGTAAAATATGAGGAAACGGGAGCAATGCCTGGATGAGTAGAGGGAACGGGATTTAGGAAAAACCTCTTAGCTCATTAATTCTCGGCCTGCATCACCTCCATCTTCTCCGGTGACTCTTACCAGGCTAACAGATAGGACTGTGTCTTTCTTCAGCTTGTGCAAGACAGAAAGGTCACTGTGATTCGTGCGCGCTACTGGGAGATAAAGGGAGGCTTATTTATGTATTTATTTAAATAAAATGCTATTTCTCTAACAGACAATGATGTCAGAGGATCTCTTCCTTCTGTTATCGAGTGTTCAGGAGTAGATATCTACTTTCTTGGCCACCCACTCAAACCCAGTCACATCTGGCAGAAACACTTCACAGTGGTGTGAGGAGGCACACCTAAAACAGGGCCAATGAACCTAAAAGTCAGAAGAAGGGCAAAGGAAACCCAGCAGAGAGCTTGGGTAGTTCAGCAAAATGGATGTTGCTAGGCCATTATAGCTTTCTTACCATCTGAAAATCAAGTATGAGAAGATGCCAAGCCACCCGAATGGAATGTCTTCATCAGCCCCCTCCCTTCAGGGCTCAGGGTTCTCTCAACAGAAGAGGAGGAAAGATTGTAAGAGCCAGAGGTGATGGATGACTCCAAACAAACAGTGTCTTCCTGACACAACAGAACCGAATGGCATATGAACTCATAGAAAGGCTGGCAGCATGCGCATGGTCTACAGAGGGCCTCGCCAGACGGGGTCCCAGAGCTGAGGGAGTGAGGTGGAAACTGCTCTCCCACTTTTAACCAAGAAGCTATCTGAAACTGGTACCCACTTGCAAAGGAAAATTAGTTTTCTTCAATGGAGTCTCACTGGGTATATTAACCACACTTCAGGGTAGGCCTCATGCCTAGTAGCTGGCTAGCACAAAGCAACCTCAGTGGTATCTTTGCACATAACACCTTTTCAAGTATAAAGACCATTGAATGGAGGGCTGTAAGAAAATACATTTGAGGGAGGAAAAGATGGCTCAGCGGGTAAAGGCACTTGCCATGAAAGTTGACGACCCGGAGTTTGATGCTCAGGACCCACGAGGGGTAAGGAGACTACTGGAAGTTGACCTCTGACCCCCCCTGAGTGCTGAGCGCTCTCCACTAGGTAGATGATGCCAAACAAGACTGACAGAGGCACTGGCTCTATCGGTTAAAGGATTGGTTTTGATATAGCAGGGGAAGGAGAGCGGTTCACCCGGAGAGGCAGGCTCGGCTCTGTGGCCAGGTTAGCAGCACCACCAGCCTATTATTTAGGTTCCTAGGCATCTGTCCCAGGAAATAGCCTCCGGGCGCTCGGGCCCCATCCAGGACGCCACACCCGTGGGTTTGACCACTGCGGAGGTGCTGTGTAGTTTGGCTCTCCTCCATCCCGCTTTGGGCCAATCCCGGTTCCGCTGGAACTCACCTGTTCTGCAGGTGCGCCAGACCGAGGCGCGGCTCGGAGCGGCGGTGGGCGTGGCCGAGGCGGGGCGGGGCGAGGCCGCTGTGGGCGGGGACAGAGCCCCAGAAGCTCCAGGCGCAAGGCCCCTGCCGCCAGTCGCCGCAGTGACTGCCGGGATGCGCCGCAGCGAATGGTCGCGCGGGGCGCCGCTCTGAGTGACCTTTCACCCGCGCCCAGCGGCCTCGGGCGGCGGCACAAGCCGGAAGCCATGGCGGAGGCGGCGGGCGAGGCGGGCGCGAGCGAGCGGGACCCGGACGCGGGCCGCGCGCACCGGCGGCTGCGGATTCTGTCGGGCCATCTGCTGGGCCGGCCCCGGGAGGCTCCGAGTACCAATGAGTGCAAAGCGCGGAGAGCCGCGTCGGCGGCCGGGGCGTCGCCCGCCGCCACTCCCGCCGCGCCGGAGTCGGGCACCATCCCCAAGAAGCGGTGAGTAGCGGGCCGGGGAGGGGCTGGCGGCTGGAGGCCATGCGCGGCCTGGACAGAGGGAGAGGAGGGCGCGGGAGTGGGCAGGGAGTTGATACGGTGGGCGGAAGGCATCCCGGTCCCTGCGAGTACATCAGCTTGCGGACTGGGAGTGGACCAGACCCTGTACTGTCGGGAAGGGGTGGGATGGGTTGGCCGGTTTTGGTCTCTTTGAAGGTAACACAGTTCATGACCTGGTATGGAGAAAGGGTTCAAGGGATCCCCTTTCTTGGCATTTGAGGCTAGGAACTCATTCCCTGTCTTGGAACGGGTTGCAGGGGTTTTCTTAATCTACGAGGAGGAGGCTTAAATTTGCACTAGATAATCAGATTTCTTGCTAATTCTCAAAAGCCTGGTTCCAGGCAGCATGGGGGAGGTGGGGAGTAGTAGGGAAAGGTGCTGAGTGGTTTCTGCAGGGGAGGCTACTACCACTTCCCTATGGGCATGGGTTCTGACTTTAAGGGAGGAAACCAGTGAGTGCGTGACTGAGTAGGATGCATTGGACTGCAAACATTAGTGACTTAAGAGTTTGCTCTTCTAGCTATAGATCTCTGTAAGAGCTAAAAGACAGGAATCTGGATGAGGAACGTTTGTAAAATCTTAAGACCTTTGGAGGACATCTCTATCTCTGATGAAAGCTGTTGAGAGATGGTGTTTTTTGAGATTATGAGTTTGGGAAACTTGGAGAATGAAAAAAGATTTTTTGCTAACTTTAATGTGTACTTTCAAAGTACTGGAGATGGCACTAACATCCATTACCCCTTCTTCCTAAGCTCTTAGGTAGGTGCAGGAGTCTCCCATTTTACAGGTGAAGAAATTAGAAAGAGCTCAAGAAGTCTGCTGCAGTTAGCAGGTACCTGTGTTGACAGTTTAGACATCCAAAGCAAATCAGATCGACTGCTTCATTAATTTAACCCGTGTAAGTCCATACTGCATACACCCCTTACCAGCAATGCAGAGATTCTGAAATGCACTGTATACTCTAGGGCAGTAAAGTAATACAGTATAAGAAATTTACCTGATAATTGAAACACAGTCTTTTAGCCCATTTTTGAGTATTTATCTGTTAGGGGAAAGGCTTTCCTGAGCCAGGGTTTTCTGTGTAAATCTTGAAGTTTGTACTGAAAATAGCCTACAGGAGGGGAAGTGTTCGTGGTGGAGAAACAGGATGGTCACAGGGAGAGAAAATGGAGAGTAGAGAACTGCTGGAGTTAAGTGTGGCGGAAGGGGTGAGAGTGATGAGGAGCAAAGGCTGGAGGGGTGAAATGTGTTTCAGGGTCCGTGTGGCAAAACATTAGATTTGCTTTTCAGAAAGGACACACTGGAGTGGAAATGAAGATTGGCTTGGCAGTATAATGGCTGGAAACAGACCTAGGTTTGAATTCCCTTAGACCTTTCAGCCTGTAAACTGTAACTCTCTCTCCAAGCTTCTGTCCCCTCATTTTAAGAAAGATGTAGAGCTGGATGTGGTGCCACACATATTTAGTCCCAGCACTTGAGAGGCAAAGGCAGGTGAATCTCTTGTGAGTTCAGGGCCAGCCTGATCTACATAGTGAGTCCCAGGCCAGCCAGGGCTACACAGAGAGACCCTACCCTGTCTTAGAAAACAGAAACAAAACCAAACAAAAACCAAAAGAACTGATCCCTGCCTTGCATTTTTGTTTTAGAAACAGAAAAATGCAGCTAAAGGATGCTTAGTGTACTGTCCATTACACAAGCTCTCAACAAATAGGTGTAGCTGTCCTTGTGTCCGAAGACAGTGGTTATGAATCTCATATCTTAATCAACAGTGCTGGGCGCTGAACTTAGCATACCATTTAAAAATATGAGGAGGTACGTTTTCCAGAAATTGGTTACTTGGTTGTGGGAGAGGGTAAAATTGAGAGTCACCTATATCCTCTGTTTTCACTGATGTTATGTTAGCTGCTGTGGCGTTTAAGATTTTTCATTTTTCCCAGTGGCTTCTTACACATGGCTGTTTTCTCATTTGCATGTAGCTGTGTGATTAAACATTTATATGTGCATCTGTGTTATTAAATTAAGTGGGCAGGGCAGGTTTCCTTAAGACTGGATTTAGTTGCCATTGCTCCCAGCATTTAGAGAAGAAATAGCAATGCTCCGAGGTAGCTGACTTTCTAAGGCTGAGGGCAACTGTTGTAAGAAGGGGTGGTCCTTGTGTGGCTGTTGAAGACTGAAGTTGTCCGTAACCTAGGGACAGCCGCAGCCTGTTTATGGCACAGGGTATAGCTAGTGGGAAGCTCAGGGTTAGTTGGGTAGGTAACATCTATACCTCTGGGGTTACTCAGAAGTTTAATCAAAATGCTTGTATTTGACTCAGTGCAAAGCACAGCACTACCTTGTATTAAGGGAAACATAAAACCATGCAGTAGATGAAGCATCAGAAACTTTCTCAGAGTGGGTTTGTTCTAATTGATTATTATTGGTTGGGAAACCCAAGTTTTTCCACTTCCTGCTGCTTAGATGGGTCTCAACATCTGCAGCAACAGGAACTGAGCCTGAAGAGAACGGCAAATTTTAGAGCAAGAAGCACGGTGTGATTACAGCTGTGTTGGTGATTTTGGAATCTTTTGATGATTTGCATATTACTCCTCTTTCATTACTCTGGGTGGGGTATTGGTTGTCATTGGCTATTTATACTTAAATTTATCATAAGCTTGAAGTAGTGACTTCTTAATGCTCCCTGCTTTCCTTTCTCTTGCAGAATAGTCATGCAAATGTTAATTTAGTGAATGTTTGCAGATAAATTGCTTTATGACAAGGACTATGTTAGGTTGGCCATAAAGCCCTGAGCTTTAGGAATGCACAATCTAAGAAGAAAGGTTACAAGTTCCAGTAATTTAATTAGAGCCAGGGTAGACTAAGGTATGACTGTAGCACAAAGGAAAGAAAGAGTAGCATACTCTCTGTGGTTAGAAGCTTCCTGAAGAAGGTTTGAAAATCTTGTTGATACTTTGATGGGTAGACTGGATGATGAGGAAAGTTTGTTACAGCAAAGCAAGGGGCCATGGAAGTACAAGTTGTATTTGGATGACAGTTGAGTGTTGGTAGAGATGGGAGTAAAGTGAAAAGAGGAAAGCGATGGCAGGCCTTGAAGGCTTTGGCTTATAGATAATCAGGCCATTCACTTATGAAAGTAGCATGCAGCAGTTCGCAAAGCCTTGCCCTTATGGAACTTCTGTTGGAGTATTGACAAGGGATACCTGCATGTGAGGTGGTGATAGACAGAGTGAAGGCATAGCTGAGAGGCTGGTGAAGGGAAGAGCCTGGAAGATAAGCCAGGCAGGGACTGATTGGATTGGAAACTATTGACCAATAGTTGCTGGCACTAGGAATGCGTTTCAGTAAGGGCATGGCATCATGCCAGCAAGGCAAAGGCTCTATTCCTGAGTTCCAGTCCCAACCTAACCCTGTCAGTCTTTACAAATGTATTGTTTAAGAGCGGGAGGCAGCTCAGTTGGTGAAATGCTTGCCCCACAAGGGTGAGTACATGTGTTTGAGCACCGTCATCTGCACACACAACCAGCTGTTGGGGTGTGCATATCCATTGCCCGGGTAGAGGGAACAGGTGGCTCCCAGTGGCTTGCTGGCCAGCCCGCCTCACCTATTTGAGTTCCAGGCCAACGAGAGATCCTGTCTCAGGGCAAAAAGGTGGACCGTTGCTGAAGACCAGCCTTGGAGGTCTTACTTAGTGTATGTCACAACTTTGGAAAATGTTCTCCAGAAGAGAGAAAGCTGAGTTGATTTCCTGCAAATGCTTTTTAGGAAGGCAGCCTGCAGCTTCATTTCAGTAGCAAAAGTTTTTTGGACAAGTGACTTCCAACAACGTTGGAAACACTGAAGCTTATTTTGGTACTTAAACCAAATGAAATAGCATGGCATGAGTTCTGAGCTGGGAATTCTAGTGATGGTGCTAGTAGGAGTTTTAATTTGAGTAAGTTAATATCCGAGTTAATATTCTAAAGCACAAGTACATTACCTAATATTCTCCATTGAACAGCTTGGGAAAACAGGTGGTGGTATATGTTGGTTCCAGGTGAGGAAGTAGAAGCTCAGTTAATTTTCTATGTCTAGTGATAGGCAGCTGTGAAATGAATGAGATGCTATTTCAACTCTGGCCTCATCTCTACCCATGTTCCTCTCCCTGTGCTGTCTCCCTGTTGCTACACTGTGGTATTTATTCCCTGGGTAAAGTTGTCGGGTTGTTCTTGTTTGTGTCCTATATTTAAGGTGTTAGTTTATGTTGTTTTATTGATAAATTAGAAATATCCCATCAAAGAGAAATAGAAAATTTGGGAAAATACAAAATGTGTTTTAAAAAGATAGGCTGGCTCCTTTTAAGTTAATGAGTGAATTTGTTGTTCCCCTTGTGAAAGAAGACTGTTTGAAATAAAAGAGAGCAAAGAGGAATGTGGGAGAACCCAGATTAGAGGAAAAGAGAGTGTTCTTGGAAGATTTACTGCCTGGCTTAGACTGTTAGGAGTAAGAAACTTGATGTCTTAGTCTCTGGTTTGCACGTTGACATAAACCAGAAATTTTCCAAATTTTCCTCCTGTCCAGGGGTCACTGTGAAGCCAGCCATGCAAAGTTCAGTTAGTAAGAGTATCTGGGAGGAAATGCAGTGATCTGCTTTTAGGCCATGGGGAAACGGAATGCTGTTGTAGTCGCGTGAGATACTTCATTGAACTTTATGATATTAACCTTTTATTTTCTTGTAACTGAAAAGGTATCTGCTATTCATGAGATTAGTATGTTAATTTCAACCTAAACTAAGTCAGAGGATCTTGAGTGGAGTCATCACTTGAGCAGCATAGTAATTGCTCTCCTCCTTCTCTTCAGTTTTTGGATTTTCAGGGTAAATAGTCCAACATGTCTTTCCCAATGTCTGTGTCCAGAATCACCTGAGTGATAGTACAGTAAGACACAAACAGAAATAAAAATGACGG